TGTGTGTGAATGGGTGGATGACTGGTTGTGTAAAAGCGCTTTGGGGTCCTTAGGGATTAGAAAAGCGCTATACAAATACAGGCCATTTACCATTTACCATGTGATTCAGTGAGCTCTAAAACCAAATGTGATTAATCAGAAAAGAAACACAAACAAAAGTGCAGCATCTGTCTGCCTAGACTGTGTGATAACGAGCATCAAACCACCAACAGACATGACAAATGAAAACAAAGCTGATTCACAAAATTTTTATGGATTTAAAGCTACATCAGCGGGTTTGTAGCACTTTAGCCTTTGCTATCTGAAAACACAGTGTCAAATCTTTACTATTACTTTGAATGACATAAAAGTATGAGACAGTCCCAGTTTGTTTCTGACGTTCGTCAACTTTAAACAAAAAGGCAGACCAAAAAAGTCTCTCATGTAAAATTACAGTTTTAATTTTGGCAGATAAAGGGCAGTTCAATTAGGAGCCTCTCGCTCATGGAGGAACAACAAACTCTTCAAACACTCCTGCACTTTCATTATAACCTGTACATTTGTTTTGTTGGACTCACTTCTGATCCGGCTTGGCCTTCATCTCCTCTGTACCCGGGAGGCCCGGGCTTGCCAGCTTCACCCTGGAAAACAACAACATTAATGACAAACTGTTTAAACACTTTTACTGTACATAACAAAAAGGGGGTTTTAAAAAAATAAAGTTTTAACAGTGTCACCATTTAACAACTACACTTCCCATGAGTCTTTGCCTGAGGAAAAGTTTCACAATTTACTCAACTCTTCCCATCTCTGTGTCTATGTGAGCAGATAATCGCCCGGAGAGCAGTGAAAAAAGAAATTATGTTCTCTGCATTGTAACATTATTCAGTAGGATGTGAAACAATTAAAAGTCACTGCTAAGATCTGGTAACATCTGGATCAATCTGAAATGCCGTATACGATATTTAGGTTTTGGACTTTCAAACAATAAGACAAAGACACCACAGCGCTTCTTTATATTCTAGTTAACACACAAAAAATACTGTTAAACACTCCTGTAGAGTAATGCTATGCCGTTATTCCGGTTGTCCGTTATTCCATGTTTTCCATACTAATCATTTCCTTAGTGTTCACTGACAAGGAAAGTAGCACAGTCAGAAGCACAAAAGAGCCATTGAACGCTCTGACATCACTGAGGTTGCCACGGCTGATGCTTGTAACGTATTATTATTATTACACTGCCTGGTGCCTTATTAAGAAAAACCATGGTGAGGCTTTGGCTTGAGAGGACGAAGAGAAGAACTGAGTCAGAGGGGAAAGAGTGACTGTTGATGTTCCCAGGAGGAGTAAAACGGAGAATAAGAGGAGGGGAGTTGGGGTTAAAGCAGGGAGGAGTGGGCAGCACTGCGGGGACACAGCCAGGTCTTACTTCTGGAAAACCTGGCCAGTTTATCCCCACTTAACATGAAATATGCACAACTGCTCACGTGTGCGCATGCACCGACTAACATGTTCCTACAAAAGGAAAAAAAGGATAATTCCAGAGAAAGAGCGAGTGGTTTATAGTTGGGGCTGTGCCGTGCTACACCACGCAGCATTGTAAGCAGGGCCGCTCACTGCTCGTGCCTGTTTGAATGCCTGCATGGTTGCTCATATTTGAGTGAGTGTTTCTGTCTTACGGGGGCGCCGTTGGGGCCAGTTGTGCCCTCCCTCCCTTGTTCTCCGCGGGGTCCTGGATCCCCCTGGCAAGGAAAAGAACAAATATATAAATTAGACTAAAGGCATTCAAGACAGTAACAAAACACAATGAACGCAGACAGAGCCAGGCTTTAAAAAACAGTCAGCTCAGTGGGAGTACATGAGGAATTACATAAAAACTGTTCCATTAAGGTCAGTGTGGTTACAGTGGACTCACTATACACGTGCCAAACTGAATTTCCCATGAATTTCTGAGGAGAAAATGCTGAACTGGGGAAGGCCCGTGAGGGACTGGGGCTAAACCTTTTATCAGCACTTACCGGTTCCCCTCTTGGGCCTCGGTTTCCACG